ATGTTAGATTTTAATATACAGTTTTATCCTGATTAAAGCTTTAAGAGAGAGAGAGAGAGAGAGAGAGAGAAAAGAGAGAGAGAGAGATGCAGAGCATGTGTAGAGCAGGGGAACGCGAGGAACAGTGTTAAGAACCGCTGCTTTAGAACATTGATTTTGAAACTTGTGAATCCATTAGAATCGTTAGAAGACAGAATCGCGATTCATATATAAACAGATCTTTATGTGCACCTCTAGTTTTCTCTTCCTCTTCTCTAAAGCAGCGCAGCATGGCCTCGCCCCCTTTGTTGCCTTTTCCCGAGGGCGGGGTTTATCTGGGTTTGTGACATAACGAACCCTGGAAGTAACTTGTTGTAGTCTCTACCAGCCGTTTTTGTAGGCATTAAACTGCCAGAATTTTAAAAGACGATATCTCCGTTTGCATTGAACTTTCAGCTTCGTAACTTTGCAGATATTGTTTATGCTCAAACAGCAACATTACACACTAACTAACGTTAAAAAGTGAAATCGCAATCAACCACCCCTTTAAATGGTAATAATATTTCTGGATTTTTTTTACTGTGTTTTTTGATCAAATAAATGTAGCCTTCATGAGCACAAAATATTTTTTAAAAACCTTAAAAATCATTTTAACCTCAAACTTTTGATTGTTAATGTAGTTTTTTAACAGTTTTATGTTTAAAATGTGTAAATTTGATCACTTAGAAGAGTAATATCACATCTCTACTCAACAAGACATCTGATTTGATGAATCATTCATAGCACTAACAGTTTCAAACGTGTCACAAATGTGCCCATTTTCCAAGTTTATGACTTAGAAGTTTGTTCAAATCCTTAAACGTAAGTATGTGCAAGAATAATAATAGTGATGCAAATAAAAGATACATTATCTTGATATGACTCAAGGATGCAGTTACTATTGATGTTACCTGTCTGATGCTAGCAGCTTTAATACTGCAGAAAGCAGCAGAAGTCCAAGCCTGAAGTCTTACTACCCGTCTCAAATTATAATATAATAAATGCCAAAGCAAAAAATCAGTTATTAATCAGGACATCTGAACGTCTGCTTCCTAGAAATGGTATGCACTTAACAACTGAATAGGCTTTGAAAGCAAGAGTGGCATTTGGGCTGCAGACAGGACATTTAGAAAGTGTCTGGTAATTGAGTTAAGCTGAAGTTCTGTAACCTCAAGGATTTTCATGAACCTGAACTAGATCTGGATTGAAACAAACAAATATGAGGCTTATTTATTTCAGTGAGTTTAAGAAAAGCCCAATTACTGTACATCGAAACATCTCCATTCTCCAGTCCAATTAGGAATGGCTTTGCACAGAACCATCAATCTAAAAAAGAACTCATTAAACCGGTTTCATTTTCTGTGTTGACACACTTCCTATTGAAATTGAAGAGCTCATCCCTTTTTGTAATATATGTATTTTTACATCGTTTTTTAAAAAGCAAACAGGCTTTAGTTTATATCACCACCAATAAATCACGATTTTCTACTTGCAATTGCTAGTCAGAAACAGCTAGGATTAGAATGAGGAGTTGTTCATCCACAGATTTGCAAGAAAACCCAGAGACTTTCACATGCAAACAAAAAAAGACACACTTCCTATTGAAATTGAAGAGCTCATCCCTTTTTGTAATATATGTATTTTTACATCGTTTTTAAAAAGCAAACAGGCTTTAGTTTATATCACCACCAATAAATCACGATTTTCTACTTGCAATTGCTAGTCAGAAACAGCTAGGATTAGAACGAGGAGTTGTTCATCCACAGATTTGCAAGAAAACCCAGAGACTTTCACATGCAAACAAAAAATTTTTCCAAAGTGCACAGGAAAACAGGCTTTTATATTCACGGTCTATGCAAAAATTTGGAATAATTAATATTTCCTCTTTTTTGTTTTAATGCTTTTTATTGTCTCTTAAGCCTCGTTCAGACTGTCGGCCCAAATCCGATTTTTGTGCAAATCCGATTGAAATCCGATCATATTTAGAAAGTCTGAACAGCAACGAGCTATATGAAATCCGATTTTTGCAAATCCGTTTCGAGCTACATTCGTATGTGGTTTCAAATCCTATTCAAATCGCATTCCTGGAAATCCGTTTCAGTCTGACCGCTCAGATCGGATTTAGCCTAGCTTTTTCACGTTTTCACACCACTTAAAATGTAACAAACGTCAGACGTTTTTGTCGAAAACATAATGAACGTCTTTGCAGAAACAAGCTGGTGTTGTCAAGCGGAAAAAGACAATATACTGCTAGTATACGCACCTCTTTGAGTTTTGAAACCAGTAGAGATGGCAGCACGGAATAAAGACGCTCATTCCAACTTCCTGCGTTTCTGCCGCTGCCTCGTAAGACAAAATCCAAAATAATAATAATACAGCGCGACGGCAACATGTTGTCATGTCGTAAGACAACATCTGTATTGCTAACTGTATTGCTGTTATTGTTGTTTTTAGTGTTGGCATAACAACGCAACGGCATTGCCATAGAAACCGTCGCACACTCCGTAAAACTAAATGTTTTTGTTTACATAATATATGTGTGTGTACTGTGTATATTTATTATGTATATATAAAGACACACACATACATCATATATTTAGAAAATATTGACATGTATTCAATCATGAATATATTTATAAAATTATATCATATATAAATATATTTAATACATAAACTATCGCGATTAATCGTTCGACAGCACTAATTCAAATAGAAGACTGTCATTTTAAATGTTTATAATATTTCACAGTATTACTGTTTTTACTGTATTTTTGAGCAAATAAATGCAGCCTTGGTCAAGCAGGAAAATAATTCAAAAACATTTAAAAAATCCAAAATATCCTAAACTTTTCACTGGCAGTATATCTATTAGTGTTTTTTTTTGCACATGTACAAGTTTGTCATGCATGTATGAAAGTCTCAGGGGTTTTTTCCCCCTGCAAATATCACTTTAGAATGTACGGAGCATCTAGAGAGCATTTGATTGGACGAAAAAATTGGACACACCCATTAGTGCAACATGATGTCATCAGTATTTTTGCTCCTGAAAACTATAAACGCACGTTTTTAATCATTTTAATAACCTAAACACCAAACAGACATGGATCAAAAGCCACAAAACTCCCGTTTTGATTTCACAGGGTTGTAAAAGTCTATATTTATGTCTACATCCCTGTTATTTTCTTGTTCTTTTTTTCTTTTCTGCATATGCCTTCCTTTTCAGCCTTTTCCTGTAACGCTGCCCTTTCAGTCTCCTGCACTAAAAATACTGCAGGGAGGGATCTGGGTCAAACCTCCTACTCTGTTTTGTACAAGACCTGATTGCAATCCTACAGAGACTCTCTGTACATCAGTACACAACTTACAAAAGGGAACGTCACGTATCACATGAGCACTCTTTCTCTCTA